AGCCACTAAATTAATAGTGATGAGAGATGTAAACTGAATAAAGGCTCAGCAAAGATGTCTATGTCCTAACACCCAGAACATGTGAATATTTTTGTTATAAAAAAAGAGACTTTGTCACAATAGCATCCAAAAAAATGAAATACCTAGGAATCAATCTAACAAAAGAAATCAAAGACCTCGTCTCTGAAAACTACAGCACTCTGAAAAAAGAGATCAAAGAGGGTATCAGAAAATGGAGGGCTGGGGGTTTAGCTCAGTGGCACCGTGCCTGCCTCGCAAGCACAAGGTCCTGAGTTCAATCTCAGGTGCCAGAAAGAAAATGGAAAGACATCCCTTGCTCCTAGGTAGGAAGAACCAATATAGAAAATGGCCATACTTCCAAAACTAATATATAGTTTCAATGCAATCCCGATTGAAATTCCAACAGCATATTTCACAGAACTAGAAAAAACAATACAAAAATTCATTTGGAACCAGAATAGACCTAGAATACCAAAAGCAATTCTAAGCAACAAGGATCAAAGGTTGGGGGTATCACAATCCCCAACTTGAAACTATACTACAAAGCTACTGTGATACAAACAGCATGGTACTGGCAAAGAGACAGACCTGAGGGTCAAAGGAACAGATTAGAAGATGCAGAAACAACTCCAGACATACTCAGCCACCTCATCTTTGACAAAGGAGCAAAACACCCTCACTGGAAGAAAGACAGACTCTTTAATAAATGTTACTGGAAAAACTGGGTTTCAACCTGCCAAAGATTAAAACTAGACCTATATCTGTCACCATGAACTAAACTAAAAGCAAAGTGGATCAAAGATCTAAATATTAAAACAGAAACACTAAACCTACTGGAAGAGAGATTAGGTAGAATCCTTGAAGACATTGGTGTAGGAAAAGACTTTATGAACAAAACCTCAGTTGCCCGTGAACTAGCACAAAGAATCAACAACTGGGATCTCATCTTATTAAAAAGCTTCTGCACAACAAGAGAAACCACCAACAGATTGAAGAGACAATCCACAATGTGGGAAAAAATTTTTACCAGCTGTTCCTCAGACAAAGGTCTACTATCTAGAATATATAAAAAACTTTAAAAAATGAGACCTCCCAAATTTAAAGACCCAATCTAAAAATGG